GTATCCATCCACCATTGCAATAGCTGACAGAATAGTCTCCCTGGCCTAAAAATCCTCTGTGCTCTGTCTATTCCTCATTCCCTCCTGCCAGCCCCTGGCAACCACGGCTCTTTTTACTGTCTCCAGAATTATGCCTTTTCCAGAATGTCCTATAGTTGGAATCGCACAGAGCGTAGCTTTTCAGACTGGCTACTTTCACTTAGTAAAATGCATTTAAATTTCCCCCGGGTCTTTTCATGGCTTGATAGCTCATTTCTTATAGTGCTGAATAATAATAATACTCCTTTATCTGGCTGGACCAGCATTTGTTTCCTCACTACTGAAAGACATCTTGGTGGTCTTCAAGTTTTGGCAATTATGAATAAACTTTCTATAAATATCTGTGTGCAGGTTTTTGTGTGGACACAAGTTTTCAAATCCTTTGGGTAAATATCAAGGAATGTGATTGCTGGATCGTATGGTCAGAGTATGTTTAGTTTTGTAAGAAATTCCCAACTGTCTTTCAAAGTGTCTTTGCATTCCCGCCAGCAATCAGAGAGGGTTCCTGGTGCTCCATATCCTCACCAGCATCTGGGGTTACGAGTGTTCTGGATTTTATCCATTCCACTAGGTGTATGCTATGGTATTTTTAAGTTTTAATTTTGAGATAATAGTAGATTCACATGCAGTTGTAAGAAATAATACAGGGGGAGCCCATGTACCCCCTTTACTCAGATTCCCTGGTGTGAGGTTTTGCAAAATTGTCCTACCGTAACACAACTGGGAAACTGACATTGATACAAACCACCAACTTATTCAGATTCCACCAGCTTCACTCCCACTCGTTTGTGTGTGTGTGTGTGCATTTGTGTGAGCATGTGTGTGTATTTAGTTCTACGCAGTTTCCTCACATGTGTAGATTTGGGGGGTCAACACCAGAATTAAGACACAGAACAGTTCCATCGTATGGGTCCCTTGCCCTACCCTTTATCAACACGGCCACCTCCCTGGGCTGCTATGACTTTGTCCATTCTTCTAGTTTTAACTTTTCTGGGTCACTGTGTTTCAGATGTATCTCTTGTAAGCCATATATATGGTTGATTTTGCTTTCTAAACCAGTATCAGGGTCTTTTCCTTTTGATAGAAGATATTTATCCTGTTTACACTTACGAAAAATGCAGGAACTACTGTCCCTCAACATTTATTGGGGTTTTTCCTTTCCTAGCTAGTTCACAGAGAAGGAAGAGGAAACAGAGCAGTGAGTTAATTTTCTTGAAATTTCAGAACTGGTAAGTGGCAGAGGGAGCTTCCAATCCACTTCACCATACCGTCTTTATACTAACGGTAGGTCAAGTTTCCTCTTCTGGAAGGTTAAAACAATGTCTCTTCCCAGCCAGACTCCCTGTCCTTCTGATACGGAAAAGAGCAGAGACGCCCTTCTGAACTTCACAGCAACAGAGACCCCCTCAGATCTGCCAAGGTAAGTTTCCTTCCATTCCAGCCATTTTCATGAGAGGGTAAAGCAGAATCCAATGATGTCTTTGTAGGAGAAAGATGGAAAGCGGAATGCCCTCCAGAACATTTAAAAATACAAGGATACACAAGATGTGGCTTCCAAAATGTCGAATTCTTTGTTTTCCTTGTACTTCACCTGTTGCTCCTTCTCCACTTCTTGCTGCTTTCTTGTCTTCTTCCTGGGCTTAACTGTTGGGATACTGCTGGGCTCAGTCATGGACCACAGTTGACCTTTACTAGTACTTTCTTCCTAGGGTTCTTATGCAATTTCATGGCTTTAAGTACTTTCTATACAGATGGCTCCCAAATTTAATCTCCCAGCCAGAACAGGAATCATATATCCATTGCCTGCTCAGCATCGCTTGGATGTCTAATGGGCACCTCCAACTTAACCCACCCCAAACTGAAGTCCATTACCTGCCCAGAAAACCTTCAACCCTTCCCATCTCAGGAAACAGAATCTTCACTGTAACAGTCCTTCACGCCCCAAACTTGACTCACCCTGAAGTCATCCTGCACTCTGCTCTCCCACATCCCACGTCCCCTGAAGAATCCTGTGGCTTCCTGCAAATACAATCTCTCTCATCACTTCTACCAACCTAGTCCAAGTGGCTGTCCTCTCTTGCTCTAACCACCACAATCGCTTCTAACTGGTCTCCTTGCTTCCCCTCTTGCAAATCGGGAATCTCTTTTCCAGCCCAAGTGATCATTTTAACATCTAAGTTAGATCAGGGCCACCATTAGCCCATTCGGTGCCCTGGGGCTTATTAGAAAAAGCCCACCCACCCTGCGAATGGATATAGCTCTGAGGATGCATGCTCTACAGCCGGGCGCCTGGTTGGCTCAGTCGGTTAAGCGTCTGCCTTTGGCTCAGGTCATGATTCCAGGGTCCTGGGATGGAGTCCCACATCGGGCTCTCTGCTCAGCAGGGAGTCTGTTTCTCCCTCTCCCACTCTCTCTCAAATTAATAAATAAAATCTTTAAAAAATGGATAGCGACTGTGCAAGCAAGCACGCATGCAATCAAAGTGCTCCTTTTTCCAGATAAGACACAGCACCTATCCCTGGCCCCAGGTCTGAACACTTGGCAAGTAGATTCTGGGATGGATTTCAGACCCCACCCGTATGCTCTGGCAGGACCTTTTGCAGTTCTCAGAATATTAATATAATATCGATATGTCTGTTGGAATGTAATTTATACAAAGGGGCCTTATAAGTTGTTGTTGTTGTGAAATGATCTTTTAATCATTATAATCAATTCATTCATAATAGCCAATGACCAGAAACAACCGAAACATATCAAGCAATGGAAGAATAGGTCAACAAATTGCAGTGTGTTTATTTATTTATTTATTTTTAAGATTTCATTTATTTATTTGAGAGAGAGAGAGGAGCCGAGAGGAGCAGAGGGAGAAGGACAAGCAGACTCCCCTCTGAGCACAGAGCCCGACGTAGGGCTCAATCTCATGACCCTGAGATCATGACCTGAGCAGAAATCAAGAGTCGGACGTTTAACCGACTTAGCCACCCAGGCGCAGTGTATTTATATAATGAAATGTTCCATAGCAATCATTTTTAAAACCAATGATACCCACAACGGGGGCGAATTTCACACACGTTAAACTGAGTGAAAGAATCCAAACAAACAAATGACTCCATTTATATGAAGTTCAAGAACAGGCAAACTGATCAGTGGTTATGGAAGAGTGGTTACCCCCCGGGGGTGGGGGAGATGAGGACTGACTGCGAGCAGGCCAAAGAAAGCTGCTTTTTTATATCTTGATCAAGGTGGTGATTACTTGGGTGTATGTGTATGTGAAAGCTTATTGAGCTGAGGGCTTGACTTTATGTGCTTACCGTAGATAAGCGACACTGCAATTTAAAATGTACGGGCAGTAGTTTGCAAATATTTAGTATATTGTCAGTATTTCATTATTACTTTGATTTTACATAACCTAAAATCCCACCGCAACCCTTGAAATTCACATGGTTTCCTGGCACCTGCAATAACCTTGTTTTCCAGGTGTCCAAGCAGAACGTTGCACCAGCGACTCACGAGGGCACCTCTAATTCTCCCATGGACCAAATGAGCTCAACTTTGGGGTGGCAGGAGCCTCTGGACAACAGGGCAGGGACGGGATGCCCGAGGTAAGGTGGAGAGCTTTGTCCCTGGGGAGGGCGGCTCCTGCTGAAATGCTCCAGGCATCCTCCTGCTATGCGATAGGGAAACAAATATTCCACGGCCTACACTGAATATTTTGGAGAGAAGGCCAGATCAGTCAGGTGCCCGACAGCGGGCAATAGGCCTGGAAGGGCAGAAACTGCCCCGCTTATGGAGGTGAGGCCCGTGAGGGCTCAGCCATTACCGAAAGAGCCCATTGGTGTCACTGCATTGAAGAACTCAGGCCCAATGAGCCGCAAATCAGCAGTCGTCACCCCACCAGCTTCCAGCACAATGCGGACAGTCAACAGACGTTCGCAGAGTGAGCCAGGGGAGCTGTATGCGAGGTGGTGCCTTCTAGAGCGGGACCATCATGCTGCACCTGTCCCCCCGTGAGGATGCGAGGCAGCAGGAAATGCCCGCATCGGAGACATTCGGGTTCATTCAAAAGCACAAGAAGCCAAACTCCCGTTCTCTCTCAACCATGTTAAAGACAAAACTCAGTAGTGGACGCAAAGTGGGGTAGTCAATCTCTGTACCTCCTTGTCCTTTCGTCTCCTTGTCCCCATTCCCCTGAGGAAACACAAGAGCAGCGAGGGCTGGATTGTGGCATCCGCGAAGGTTAGGGGTCCTCAGCTGTGTCCCCCCTCCCGGCCTTCATCCCTCCCCTTATCCCTGCAAGCCCCTGGCAACCTTCTGCTCTGTGAGTTGATTTACAGCTGCTGACTAACTGATCACTGGGCCTCAATTCGTTCGTTATTAACGCTAAGGGGTTTCCTTGGAAGTATGTTTGGTTTTTTACCTTCTCCATTGAGAAATTGTGTGCATGTGTTGAGAGAGAGAAAGATATTAAAAGGTGTGTGTGTGTGGGTGTGTGTGTGTGTGTGTGTGTGTGTGTGGGTGTGTGTGTGTGTGTGTGTGTTTCAGTGAGGAATTCCTGACATCAGCTGACAGAGGAGAGAAAAACAGCCCAGGACGGCGGTGGGCTCAGAGCTCCACCTCCATCTCACGCGTCCCTTCGCGCAAGTCCCCTCTCCTCTCTGGGCTTCTGTTCCCTCCGCTGAAAAGTAAAGGTGGTAGCTTGGACCCTGGCTAGGGCTCCTTCCAGTTCTGAGTCTCTCCTCTGGGCCAGGGAATCCGTCATCACCGGGCCTCCCAAGCTCGCCTTGAAGGAGATGCACCAGTGGCCCTTGGTTTGAGGGAAGTGCCCGAAGGAGGAGTAGGTTTGCTCTTCCCTTAAACTGTTCTCCCATAAAGGCCAAACTCCTCTGGGGTGACGAAGATCCCTTAATACTCTGTACTGTGAGACACTGGAGAGGAGATGCCCTTTGTCCCTGACATCTTCCATGAAGGACCCAACCCGTCTGCTTGAGTCGTCAGGTAAAGCTGGCGAAGTGCCAAGGAGAACCTTCAGGATATTAGTGATAATTCACTTCAGCCCTCTTGGTGCTCAACTCCGGTTGGAGGCAAAGGCCACCACAGCAGCCAAAGTCAAGGCCGTGGGAGTGTGGGCTGCATGGTACAGCAGGGTGCCTCCTCCCTCTGACCCGCGGCTACGAACACAGGACCCTCCGCCCAGTCTCCTCCTTCGCCTGCCTTTCCCACACCTGCCCCTCCCTTAGTCTCAGGTTCTTTATCTTGACTCGGATCTTAGCATTTCCTCACTGCCCCTCCTGGGTGACAGACTCTTTGAACAAGGCTGAACATGTCCCTCGGGACTAATCTACCTTCTCCATCTCTTAGGCAAGGCTATGTTTCTCCCATTTGTCCCTCCAGAAGTCTCTATTATGTGTGTTTCTTCTCTTCGTGGAAGCAGCAGCTCCCAACAACGCTCTGGGACTCTCCATGGCTGGGTGAGAGGTAACAGAGGTGTCAGGGAGATGCAGGAAGGATGCAGAGGCGGGAGTGGCAAGAACACCCAGAAACCACAATGGGCCTGACTAAGAATGTGACTTTCCCATCTGGGAGACTTTTTTCTTTTTAAAGATTTTATTTATTTATTCAATTGACAGAGAGAGAGACAGCGAGAGAGGGAACACAAGCAGGGGGAGGGTCAGAGGGAGAAGCAGGCTTCCCGCGGAGCGGGGAGCCCGATGCGGGGCTCGATCCCAGGACCCTGGGATCATGACCTGAGCCGAAGGCAGGCGCTTAACCAACTGAGCCACCCAGGCGCCCCATCCCATCTGGGAGACTTAAGCAAAACCTTTATTTTGCTCACCCACAGGGACCCGTATGACATTCTTCCGTGTGAGGATGTGCAACAACAAGATGAGGATCTGTCCGCTGAAGAAATAATATTTTTGAGAGAGTTTCCCATCATCAAGGAAGAGCTAGAAGTGGACATCAGGAAGCTCCATGCCCTTGCAGACAACATTGACACAACCCACAGAACATACACCAAGACCAACATGGTGGCCACCTCCCTCACTGTGGTCTCGGATGCCATGAGCATGATGGGTCTGGTCCTTGCTCCAGCAACAGTAGGAGGAAGTCTGGCGCTCTCTGCTGCTGGTAAAGCTTTGGGGACAGCAGTTGGGTTGACCAGCATCTTCATCAACATTATGGAACACTTTCAAAATCAAAAAGCCCAAACTCACGCCAGCACCCTAGTGCCCCCCCATGACCATGAGGTCAACGAGGCTGAGGGAAAGAAGGTCTTCGACGTCCTGAGTGTCGGAAAGAAGGCCTATGATTATGGAAGTAACATCAGTGATGTTAAGAGGAACATCCATGCCTTTCAGATAGCCAGAGCCCACCCGCGTCTGGCCACTGCTGCCAAGCGTCTCCTGACCACTGGCCAAGTCTCAGCCCGGAGGAGCACGCAGTTGCAAAGGGCCTTTAAGGGCACAACAGTGCTGATGAAGAAAAATGCTCGCATGCTGTGTAGTGCTATGGCTGGCTTCTCCCTCTGCCAGGACGTGGTCACCCTCCTGAGCAACTGGAAGCAACTGAAGGAAGGAGAAGGAAGCAAGATGGCAGAAGAGCTGAGAGCCCACGCTCGGGAGCTGGAAAGGAAGCTGATGGAACTCACCCAGCTCTATGAGAGCCTGCAGCAGTAGGTGAGGCTGACATCTCCTTCATGGGTAGGGCTGGAGGGAGGGGAGAAGCTTTAACTGGGGCTGATGGGCACCAAGGTTTAAGGAAAGGGTGTTAAGGGGGCTGGCGTGTGTGTGTGTGTGTGTGTTTGTGTGTGTGAAGTTTGCTTGGATGTTCCTGAGGATTTGGGGCACCTGGTGGCCCGGGGGGTCCAAATGACATCAGGTGCCTCTTGATGATAATGGCGCCTGTCCTGGACAGACCTGGTCATGCCTTCAATTTCTCTCTCAATGCTCCTTGAGGTCCATGGGCTGGGAAGAGGGTCTTCCCAGGTGTACGGCAGAGAGCACTGAGCCACAGGGAGCGTTACAGACTGAAATGTGTCCCTGAACCTTCATAGGTTGAAGCCCCAGTGTGACTATTTGGAGGTGGGGCCTTTGGGAGGTGACTGGGGCTGAATCAGGTCATAGGAAGGGGTGATCCTATGAGACTGGTGTCCTTCTAAGAGGAGGGAATACAAGAGGGCTCTCTCTTTCTGCCTGCGCCCGCACAGAGGGAAAGTCCGTAGGAAGACACGGCGAGAAGGTGGCCATCTCCAAAGCCAGTGGGGACGGCTCACCAGAAACCCAACTGGCCGGAGCCTCCAGAACTACACATTCCCCTTATATAAGGCACCCGGTCTGTGCTATTCCGCTAGGGCAGCCCCAGCTGACGAAGACAGGGAGCTTTGGTGACTCGCCAAGTGCTCACAGCTAAGGGGTGGCAGAGTCAGGATACAAAGCCAGGAAGCCTGCCAGGCTGCCCCCTGAGCCCTCCTTCGCAAGCCCTCCTGTGACTGGTGTTTTTCTTTACAGAAACTCTTCCAAGAGAAAAGGCCCAGGAGCTCATCTTTGGGCGGAGCCACTGGGTCTCTGGCTTGACCCCCAGGCAGGCGTGCGGAAGCAGGACCCCAGGTGACAGGAGAGGACTCTGAGCAGACTTAAAAGGGGATAGGGTGGGGGCGGGCTGGGTTGGCAGAGGCGATGCCTGGAGACTTAGCAACTGGGAGGTCCAACTGGGGCCTGAGGGCACGGTCAGCTAGTGAGTGTGGTGAGGTCCGTCTGTCCTGCCTCTCCTTCACCACCCTGCTTCTTCATTGTCCCCCATCCCTTCTCTCGGGAGCTGCCTCTTTCCCGCTGCTTCTCCCGTGCCCCATTCACTCACGTGCACACAGTAGGTCCTCATGAAGCATGTGTCGATTGGTGTGGGCTCTCTATTAAATGCAGAGGATCGGACAGGAGGGTCCCCGAGGTGAGGGGCATCTTGTGCTCACCTTTCTGTGGCCAGCTGCCTGCTCTGCTCCCTTCCTCCTGCACCCAAGGTAATGCTGGGTAAGACCCGGGTTTGCACACAACAGGACGTCACTGGAACCTGCTCGACCAGATTCCATCAGGAAGGAGAGAGGCCCTGGAACGCTTCTCTCCTCCCCAAGTTCAGAGCAATTTAGGATGTCCCCGGAAACTGTGAGGACCTCTCCAGACTTTCCGTGTCACCTATCTTCAACCTACTTCTTTCTTATGTTTTAGCTGCTGTTTTGAAAGCAGTGCATGGACATTAAATACAACTTTTTAAAAATTCAGGCAGGGGCGCCTGGGTGGCTCAGTTGGTTAAGCATCTGCCTTTGGCTCAGGTCATGATGGAGCCCGCATCCAGCTCCTTGCTCAGCTGAGAGCCTGCTTCTCCTTCTCCCTCTCCCTCTGCCTTCCACTCCCCCTGCTTGTGCTCTCTGTCAAATAAATAAATAAAATCTTAAAAAGTAGTAAAATAAAATAAAAGTCAAACAAGTAAAACATAGGAGTTAGAAATAATGCATCGACTGGACGCCTGGGTGCCTCAGTTGTTAAGCGTCTGCCTTCGGCTCAGGTCATGGTCCCAGGGTCCTGGGATCGAGTCCCACATCGGGCTCCGTGCTCGGCAGGAAGCCTGCTTCTCCCTCTCCCACTCCCTCTGCTTGTGTTCCCTCTCTCGCTGTGTCTCTCTCTGTCAAATAAACAAAATCTTAAAAAAAAAAAACAAAAACAAATAATGCATCAACCAAGGGTGACAACTGTTGGCAGTCTGGTGTAGAATGTTAAAGCACCTGCCTTCCATACTTGTCCTGAGACTGCCCACTGGGGACCCTCCCTCAAGGCTGTGTTACATCCTAGATTTTTTTCTGCAACCCAGTTTCCTCTCTCTCTCATTCTCAATTCCCCCCTTTGCCTACAGATCTAGAACTTTCCAGGGTGCTGTTTTCACTTTGCAATATTTTCCTACCATTCTCTATTTCACTTAGTTTTTATAGACTTTTTTTATGTTACGAAATATTCTCTTGATTATATATATACAATCTTTTAAATTAGACATATGTTAGTCATCACTTTCTGTTTTAGGTAGCCAAAAGCCACGCAAACTGGCTAACACAAAAAAGGGAGTTTATTGACTTGTGTGCTTAGACAGCTTAGGGGTACAGCGGGCTTCAGGTGTGTCTGGATCCAGAGAACAAAAAAGGATGTCATCAGGCATTTGTCTCTCCATTTCTCAGGCAGGCCTGCACCAGGTTCAGACAAGAGCCCTCCCCCAAGCCCCCCCCCGCCCCCTGCAACCCAGTGCACCCCCTTTCAGGGGGGGCTCCCAAGGGGAAGGGGGCGGGGCAGAGGTCCAGGGACCGCTCTGATTGGTCAGGACGGGGTCATGCGCCTTTGCCTGTGCCAGATGCTGGCCTGAGCGGTGGGCGCTGTAGGGTACGGGAATGGAGAAAGTTGCCAGAAGAGGAAAAGTAAGGGCTACACTAGATGCCTTCCGCTTTCAGGGACATTTAGATTATTTCAATTTTTTTTTATGCATAGTGGTAAAATGAATATCTGTGTGCCAAAAGCTTATTGCATTATTATTACGATTTCTTTTCTTAAAATAGAGTCCCTGAATTGGGGTCCCTGAATAAAGAAGGACCCTATGAAGGGAAAGGAGGAGTCTCCACCTACCCCCCCCCCATTACAGTAGTTAAATATATCATGGGAAACGGGAAAGATTTAAAGCGTGGAGGGGAAAGAGAGCCACTGTCCCCATTTCAGACCACAGCCTGCCAGTCCCATTTCCCACATCTTACCCTCGCGGGGGTTAAATGGTTGCCATGCCTCTGCGCTTCCTGCTTTTGCTGTTCTCATTTCTTCTCAGAAGTTCTTCAGGAGTAGAATGATGACAGAAAAAACTCTCTGAAGGTCTGAGTTACTGCGGGAAGCCATTTGAGATTTCCTTCCAAGTCAACGTGACTGTGTAGAATCTTTGTTCAAACCCAAAGCCTGATTTATGGACCGCCACGCATGCGTCAGGCATCGTACACGTGCTTTGTGAGTGAGCCACCTGAAGGAAAACCATCTTGTCCTCGAGAAGTCAATCAATGCTCCTACCGCGCCCCCCGCATTCCTTTCTGGTAAACCCGTGATTCCTGCCTGCGTGCAAATCTATAATCGTTAGAGCTTTTACAAGATGTAAGAAAGGCTGTCACCCTGTAAACACGGTTCATTCTCCCCGGAGCCCGTTCTCCCCTGTGAAGAGCGTGTTTCCCGGGCAGCTGTCTTTTCTGCCAATAAAACTCTTTTTCTTACTTTTAGAGATTCTAAAAGGTGTGTTCATTGTGCGTCCACAGTAAGTAAATAAACGGCTTTCTCCACGTTTAATACTGTTGGCTTCGTGTATGAGCATCCTTGCACCAAAGAAACGCTCTGGATAGTCATCCCCGGCCCAGGGCAGATCGTCTCTCGGCGTGGCCTTTTGTTTCCTCCGCCGAATGTCTGGAAGAAAACGGAAAAGAATGAATTAGAGTGGCGATCGGAGAGCCGCCTGCAACACTCAGTGGCCTGGTTGCATGTCTGCGTTTTGGTGCTTGAGCCCTGAGGTAAGTGTAACCGGAATGAAACCCAGGGCTCCACGCGGGCGTGGATGTGCGGTGCCCGCTCTCCGCAGAAATGACAGAAATGTCAGTCCTTACAGAGGCGGTTGCGTGGGTATTGAGGGGCTGCTGAGGCCACCCTGCCTGCCTCACCCACGTCTCTCAGCCTCAGCCTCTCCCTGCTGAGGGTAGGGGCTCCAGGCTGGGCTGCCCCTGTCTCTGCACCCCCTCCCTATCTTGGAGCCCCAGTGGCCTTCTCTCTCCCTCCCGGGGGGGCAGTGCCTCCAAGCTTGAGCTCTCTGTGCATCGCCATCTGCTTCCCCAGGAGTGAGCTCTTCCACCACCTGCAGAATTGGTCCCTTCACCTCCTGTATCTCTCCACTATTAAGGCTTTGCACTCCTTGCCAGGAGAAGCCCTTCATCCATCTGTCCTCTCTCTTCCAGCTTGAGTATGGTTCTTTGTGGGGGTCCCAGGAGTTCTGAAAAGCCGATGGGATCTGAGATGTAATGTCTCTGTCAGTAAGATGAAAAAGATGCACACGTTCACATGCTCCAGTGAGAATGGAGCAAACAGCTGACGCCACAATGGACACAAGTTCCAGGCTTTTCCAAAGCGTTGGGCCTTCCAAAGTGGCCAGTGAAGTTTTCCTGCCCATGCTGAGATCTGTGACCATAGCAAACAGGAGGTCAACGGTCCTGCTCATGCCCTGCCCCTCTACTCGAAGGAAATTAGGAACCTCCATCAGTAAGCTAAACCCCAAGTCGGTTGGGGATGGGGGAGATCCATCCATCAGCACCTGACTAGTTGGGGGTGGCCTCAAGGGGCCTTCCTGTGTCACTCCAGCTCACCCAGGCCCACCCTCAACTATGAACTTCAGGTGGCCCTTGAATTTGTGATGAAATGCAAAATATGGTCATCTATAAATCACAGTCCCATGGGTCTAAAATCTAACTTTCAACTGAAAGAAAACCAAATGGCCATGTTTTCTAGTCAATGCACATGTTATATTCAAAGAAATAGCTGTCTGGGAGAAAGTGTATCAGAAAGCAATTTGAACCCTTTCTTGGTCTCTTGAGAAAATGAAAAGATGTGTATTTGCAGGAAAGGGGGAG